GGTCAGAAGAATGAGATTTGAAGCTGCAGATAAGCAGTGTGATTTTTCTCTTGACACATCTGAGACTTCCCTCTCATCCCTGGCCCCGGGACTCCTGTACAGGCTGTGGACAGCACTGGTGAGGGGTGGAGACGGAGCAGAAATCCAGTCCCTGCCCCACTCACCAAGAGCAGGGCTTGAGTCCTGACACAGGGCTCATCTGTGGACGGGGGAAGGGGGGGAGGGTAGGAGGCTCTTTCCCATCTACCGAAGGCCCCTGTGGCAGGTGATGGCCCTGCTTTTTCAAAGGAGATGCCAGCCCACCACCTGTAGATGGGGTGGCCTTGTAGCTCGTGTGCCGCTCAGCCAAGAGATCCATGTGCATCCTAGATTTCAGGTCTGTGAGGCTGCCACCGCCCACCCTGCAGCCGCCCTGGATATTGATGAATGTAGCTACTACTTGATTCTCTTCTAAGTTCCCACCTGGCAAGGCTGTGACTCTCACAGACATTTCCCTGACACTGGATTGGATCCACACACATCCTACGGCACTGGCCCAGCTTGACACAACTGCCGAGGCATTCAAACCACACCTCCCCTCTTTATCTTTATTTAACATTTACACAGTCCTTCCTGTGTGCCCAGCACTACCTAGCACTTTCCAAATAGTGACTTATTTAATCCTCCAGCCTAGGAGGGAGGTCCTATTAGCCTAGTTTATTGATGAGGAAATGAAGGCTCAGAGAATTTAAGGGACCTGCCTGGGATCACACCCCTATGGGGCTGGGATTCAAACCTAGAGTCTGTGCTTATAACCACAATGCTTTACTACCTCTTAACTTTTTTCTTGTCCTTTTTTCTCTCATTCCCTCCTTGCTTCCCCCTCTTTCTTTCCCTTCCTTCCTTCCTCCCCTCTCTTCTTTCCTCCATTCTCTGCTCCCTCCCTTATCCTGAGCAGGTACGACCTGCTCAGCTTGGCTCACCCTCCGCAATTCTGCAGAGCAGGCTCTGTCTCCCACAGCCTTGCTAGTCCTTCCCTTGTTACTCTCGTCTCCCCGTGCCAGTAGACGGGGTGTGCCAACCTGTGCCCCCTCAACCCACTTGCTCATCACCACAGCAGCAGCTGGCAGAGGCTGGCGGCTGGGGTCTGGGCCAGCCTGAGGGGAAGCCAGATCTTTGGGGAGTTACATGATGTGCTGTACACTTTCTCCTGACGTATGCTTACATCATGATTTCCCTTTTTTTAAAGTTTATTTTTATTTAGAGAGAGCAACCAGGGGAGGGGCAGAGAGAGAGGGAGACAGAACCCCATGAACCGTGAAATCAGAGTCGGACGCTTAACTGACTGAGCCACCCAGGCGGCCTCTGCTCCAGGGTTTTTAATTTAATGCCAAGACACCTTGTACTTCTTGGGATAGACTTAAGACAATAAGGGGCCAGAAAGAGAGACAGAGAGAGCTAGAGAGAAGGAGAACCATAAAGTGGAAGGCAAAGGGGAAGAGACCCTGATCCCACCCTGAGAAGCAGGTCCCTACGGCGCTGGGAACAATGTTCAAAGCATAAATGAACTTTTCTAAGTTTCTCAAAGGACACATGTTCTTCCCCAAGGGTTTGCCTTTACCTCTGCTCTTCCCTGGTCTGGAAGGCCCTTCATGATCACTTTTACCTGAGGGCCCTGGTTAAGTGTTGCTGTCTCTGGGAAGCGTCCCTGAATTCCCACAGGCATCTCAGCAGCCTCCCCTTTGACCCCAGAGCGTCTGCATACTGGTGTACACATCCCTCTCTCTATATATATATTTTTAACTAACTGGCTTATAATTGTTTGTATCCTCTGCCAGCCATGGCTTCTTCCAACACTTAGACCATCCTGCCTTATTCTCTTCACATCCTCCATCTCCACGCCTGGTACATGGCTTGAGCCTGGCAAATGCGAAGAGAGGCAGGACAGCACAGAAACCTGGCCTTCACAGAGGAAGAAAAAAGTCGGGGCTGTGAAAGGTAATAGGACTCTGGGGTTAGTTAGCACTTACCAACTGTGTGACCTTGGGCAAGTCACGTAATCTCTTTGGGCTCAGGCTCCTCACTTATAAAATGGGGACAATATTAGTTGGTAGCACCTAGAGTTGTATGACAGTTAAACAAGTCACAACATGTGAAGCACATAGAATGGTGACTGGCACATGTGAATCACTCAGTAAATATTAGTCATTATTAGTATTGAAGTGCAAATAGTAATAGAGTTACCCAAAGGATTTAAAAAATGAAAATGTTTTTGATAAACTGTATACAAGAAGTTCTTTGCCATCATCACTCAAAAATACCAATAGAACAGCAGTGGCCCATCCATCATGATTTCCAGAATTAAGTCACAAGCTGCAGGCCTAATTGCCACTGCTTTTTTTTTTCTTTTTTTGCAAATAAAATGGTGAATATGACACCTGGCTTTTGTAAATGGTAGAATGACAGGCAAAATCATAATGGTTTAACAAAAGGTCCATTGCCTGAATCCTGTTCTGGGACTTATATGGTCCCAGACACTTAATAAGGTGTTTTCAGTCCCCAAGGACCCAAGGCAGAGGCCGGCAACAGAGAAGCAAAGCTTGGTCTCTTGTTTTACTTCTGAGAGGTTGGCAAGGTCTCTTCCTTGTCTGTGTCAAGGCACAAAGGGAAGTCACTGTCCATTCTTGCTAAGCCTGTAAAGTTAAAAAAAAAAAAAATTGGTCTTCAGGTTGAGAAAAGTAGAAGAGCTTGCAAGTCTTTGGAACTCATTTTATCTGTACAGATGAGAAAACTGAGGCCAAGAGAGGGAAGGGAACTGTTCAAAGTCACAAAGTAAAGCGTGGCCAGGGCTAGAGCCTAGGCCTCTGGACCCCTCGCTCACTGCCCTTTCACTGGCCATTGCCTTTCAAAAACTCAGTGATCTCTGTGCTGTGAGCCCCGTGTCCTTAAGTGGAAGGTGCTGGAGGCCCAGTGCTAATTGTAGAAGCGGTGCTCCTGTCCAGAGCCAGAGCTGGTGTTACAGACTTACACACACACATATACACACTCACACACACTCACTGCCACATATACATCATCTCACTCAATATTCATAACTCTATGAAGTGGAAAGTATTCTTTTCATCCCATTATATAGATGGTGATACCAGGAGGCAAAGGAGTCAAGTAACACTCCTGGAACATGAACTGAGGCTGCCTTCTGACCCCAAAGCTCAGGATCTTCCCATGATGCTCTGAAGCTCTTCTTCAGGAGCTCAGGACATTGCTGAAGGCCAGCCCTTGTGCAGGACACAAAGCAAATAGCTTCCCAGGACTGGGATGCAGTTTTGTCTCTCTATACCCTGTGTTACATAGTACAATGCAGGGCACAGAGTAGGTGCTGAGTGATCATCCTGTCTTTTTTTAAATTCAGGTATAATTGGCCTATGTACATTTCACATACAACAGAATGATTTGGCTTTCTATATTATGTAAAATGAGCATCACAATAAGTCTATTTAACAAATGTCACCCTATATAGTTACAAAATAATTTTTTCTTGTGATGAGAACTTTTAAGATCTACCCTTTTTAGCAACTTTCAAGTACACAATGCAATATTGTTAGCTGTCCATCCCCATCATTTATAACTGGAAGTTTGTACCTTTTGACTTTCTTCACCCATTTCACCACCACCTTCCCCACCCAAACCTCTGGCAACCACCAATCTGTTCTCAGTATCTAAGAGCTTGTTTTTGTTTGTTTGTTTTTAGATCCCATATGTATGTAAGATCTTATGGTATTTGTCTTTCTCTGACTTATTTTACTTAGCATAATGCCTTCAAGGTCTATTCGTGTTGTTGCAAATGGCAAGTTTTTATTCTTTTTTTTTTTATGGCTGAATAATATTCTATATATCCATTATTTATCCATCAGTGGACAATTGTTTCCATATCTTGGCTACTGTAAATAATGCTGCAAAGAACATAGTGGGAATGGTGATGGTGGTGCATATTATCTTTTCAAGCTAGTGTTTTCACTTTCTTTGGCTATACACCTAGAAATTGAATTGCTGGATAGCAGGGTAGTTCTATTTTTTTTTTTTTTTTTTAATTTTTCAAGGACCCTCCATACTGTCTTCCATAGTGGCTGCATCAATTTCCTACCCACAGTACACAAGGGTTAACTCTTCTTCATACCCTCCCTCATCAACACTTGTTATCATGTGTCTTTAGGATAGTAGCTATTCTAACTGGTGTCAGATGATATTCATCAAGGTTTTGATTTGCATTTGAAAACGCCACAGGTTTCCCACCAAACTGGCTAAACTGTATGCCCTCGAGACAGATACTCCACCTCATTCCAAATCCTCACTCTCACGTGGTTCTATTCTGGCTCTTCCCACGTCTTCCAAGTCTCCTGAATAGTCTTTCTTTCTCTAGCGCTCAGGAACTTGAATTGACTCATAATAATTCAGAGCCACAGTTGGGAGTGGGATAGTGTTAACCGCCTCTCCCCTCCCCGCCGCCCGTCGCCACTACCTCACTCATCGCGTACGTTGTGGGGGCGCCTGGGTGGCTCAGTCGGTTAAATGTCCGACTTCGGCTCAGGTCATGATCACAGTCCGTGGGTTCGAGCCCCGCGTCGGGCTCTGTGCTGACAGCTCGGGGCCTGGAGCCTGCTTCAGAGTCTGTGTCTCCCTCTCTCTCTGACCCTCCCCCTGCTCACGCTGTCTCTCTCTCTCTCTGAAATAAACATTAAAAAAAAAAAAAAAGAATCACGGGCTTCGTTTTCCCACCTCTACAACTGGAGGAGAACCACTGGCTTTAACGCATCGCAAGTAAGCACCCGGGACAGGAAAACCTTGCAAATTAACCAGCTCGCCCCTGTTGGTTCTTACAGCGCCTGCGCAGAAGCCTGTGGCGGACTGGTGCTATTGAAACCCACCTCCGCCCTTCCAGCCCTCGGAGATTCGGCGCTCGACAGGCGTCCGTCAGCCTGCCTTCCGGTTTCGGTGCGCGCAGGCGTGCCTGCCGAGCGCCGAGGAACCGATGGGGATGGCGGCCGCGGCTGGGTGAGGGACCGCAGAGGCCCAGAACCCCGGCGGGAGGACCCGACGGGCCTGCGTGCCAGTGGGAGCGCGGCCAGGTGCAGAGAGCTGGGCAGGGTCCGAGTGGCGGGAGCTCGGCCCCTCTCAGGAACGGAGACGGGCGGGCGGTGCGGGCGTGGGATGTTTGCGGTTGTGGTGGGTGTGACGTGCGTGGTACGAGATGTGGCTTTCGGGCCGTGAGTTTCGCCCGTGTTGTGCTTGCGACGATTGGGGTCTGTGTGATTGTGTGGTTACGTGGGGGCGTGCACAGCTGTGTTTGGTTATGCGGCTGAGGGTGGGTGAGCGGTGGTCTCCCGAGTGCTTATGTTTGGTTCCCCAGTCGTGTGAGGTTGAGACGTTTGGGTTCGGAGTTTGTGTGGAGTCATTTGTAGCGTTTGGTGTGGCGTCCTTGCCCCGTGTCAAGTTGTCATGTCCGCTCTGTGGTGTTGAGTCTTTCACGTCGTGTGTGGTTATGCGACCTGTGCGTAGTCGTGTTGAATTCTGTGTGGGGTGCTGTGTGCGGTGCAGGCCGTGAGGAGTGCGGCTGTGGGATGTGTAGTCTCTGCGGCATGTAGCCGGGTGGCATTCATGCTGGGCGTATAATTTCAGGATACGTAAGTTAAATTTTTACTTTTTACGTGGTGTTGGTTGAGAGGGGCTTGCATATGTTATGGTTGTGAGGCCTGGCTTCGTGGTTTCTAGTAGATTTATTTGGTGTGTGTTTGGTTATGTGATTTTAGAGTTCGTTCACGCATTCATTCATTCGTAAATGAAGCTTTATTGCATTTCTTCGTGGTAGGTGCCCGGGACTGTGCTAGACCCTAGGTATAAGGTGGTGGGACAAACGCATAGTCTCTGCCCTTACAGAGCTTAGAGTCATAGATACTTGGTTATTTTATGTGCTCGTGATTATAAATTGATACAAGTACTGTGAAGAAGTGCAGGAGCGCGCACTGAGAATGCCTCAAGTAAGAGGCATTTCCTTGGCGGAGTAAGGTTGGGTTGAGATGTGCAGGGGTGTGTGTGTGTGTGTGTGTTTGATTTGTGGTTGTTAGGGTGAGTGCATTGGAAGGAAGGGGGCTTTCAGAGTCCCTGCGTCTGATGAACCACTTGCTAGGGAAGAAACTGCGGTTTCAGTGACTATCTGGAAAAGGACTGAGATCTGGGTGAATATACTCATGAGGTTTCTTAGAGGGGAAAAAAACCAGGCACCCAGTGTCTTGTTTACTTTCTGGGTCAGAGCTACCTTTCGGCTTTGAGGACCAGACATTCCCTCCTCACAGAGCCTCTGAGCAGGCCCGTCCAAAGCTGAGAGACCTGTATTTCCTCTTATTCTCTACTGAGGTTTGTGACCTCAGGGTCTTGGGGAGAAATCTCTCTGCTTTTGTGGAATGGTTTTGTCTGGATTCTTCCAAGGTTGGGAGTTTTTCTGAGGTGACATTGGAAGTGACTTTGCCATGGCCCAGTAAAAGTGAAAATGTAACCTATTAAGCCCTGAATGTCTTAAGCACAACCAAATCCTTTTATTTTTGAAGCAGAGAGAACATTAGGCTTGCTTTTCAGCTGTCATTTATTGGCTTATAAAATCCTCTAAGTTCGTTGTCGAGAAAGTACAAATTATAAAGCACAAAGTAGATTTTTCTTTTTATCACTGGATTTTTAATGGTCTTCCTTAGACTAAGGTTGAGATTTTTGTTTGCTTTTGTTTTTTAGGACAAACACTATGTCTTTTTCTCTTTGTATTTTAAAATTTTTTTCTTTTTTATTAAAAAAATTTTTTTGAACATTTATTCATTTTTGAGAGACAGAGCACAAGTGGGGGGAGGTGTAGAGAGCGAGGGAGACCCAGAAATCCGAAGCGGACTCCAGGCTCTGAGCTGTCAGCACAGAGCCTGCCTGACTCAGGGCTTGAACTCATGAACTGCAAGATCATGACCTGAGCCGAAGTTGGCGGCTTAACCTTAAGACTGAGCCCCTCAGGTGGCCCCCAAATTTTTTTAATGTTTATTTATTTTTGAGAGAGAGAGACAGCATGAGTGGGGGAGGGGCATAGAAAGAGGGAGACACAGAGTCTGAAGCAGGCTCCAGGCTCTGAGCTGTCAGCACAGAGCCTGATGTGGGGCCCAAACATGAACTCGTCGATCATGACCTGAGCCAGTCAGATGCTTAAAGAACTGAGCTACCCAGGCGCCCCTCTCTTTGCATTTTTGACTTAAATGTAAGACCTTAGTATATGTGGGTGAATAAATGACCAAGGTAAAGAGTCAGAAATTTTTGTGTGTGGGGTGCCTGGGTGGGATAGTCAGTTAAGTGTCCAACTCTTGATCTCTGCACAAGTCATGATCTCACCATTCGTGTGTTTCAACCCTGTGTCTGGCTCTGCACTGATGGCCCGGAGCCTGCTTAGGATCCTATCGCTCCTTTCTACCCTTCCCCCACTGGTGCTTTCTGTTTCTCAAAATAAACAAACTTAAAAACAAATTTCTGTGTGTTGGTAAGTACTTCATACATTTCCCCAGTGGCTGATGTGGCATACAAATTATGAAGTTGGACCAATTGAAGTGAATGTTAGAGATCTGCCTTGTTAGTGTGTTTGCTTTTGAAGTTGAATTTTCTTCAGGAATCTGTGTTTCCTACTGCAGTGAGTTGCCATTGTCCAGTGGTATTCTCCAGTCTTTGAAGGTTTTGTATTTTGGTGTAAGGGAAAGCAGTTTGTGTTCTGAAACTTGGACTGAACAAACACTAAGTAATCTTGTTGAGCTGTGAAAAGAACAAAAAAAATTCTCAATTGCTGCTAATTTGCCTGAATTGGCTTCTTTTCTGCCCCTTCTTTCCTGTTTCAGAGCTTCTCCTACTCCAGAGAGGAAACCTCATCATCAAGAGCCATGATACCACTTCCCCATCATCTGTGTGCCGCTGGCTTAAGCTAATGCTGGGAGAGCACTGGTCCCTGGTGGAAGAAATCAAGCTGCCTCTTGGCATGAGGCCCCTGGCTTGCAGGAGTTGAGCAGGACGCTGCTATGGCTTCTCTGGATGACCCTGGGGAAGTCAGAGAGGGCTTCCTTTGCCCTTTGTGCCTGAAGGACCTGCAGTCCTTCTGTCAGCTTCAGTCACATTACGAGGAAGAGCACTCTGGGGAAGACCGTGATGTCAAAGGGCAAATTAAAAGTAAGAGGCATGAATTTCTTGCCTATCCTATTCTGTCAGTGGGAGCTTTAACTCATGGTTTAACTCATGGTTTTCGTTAGCTTCCATGATGCCACCAGAATGTGATAAACAATAATAAATTAATCATAGTCATAGTGAACATATATCTAATGCTTACCATGTGCCAGGCATTGTTCAAAGTCTCCCCATGAAATAACTTAATTTAATCCTCATGATAATTATTGGAATGTGAGACCCGTTCTATTGTTGAGGTTGCTAGTCAGAGAGAAATTAGGTAACTTGCCTTAAGTCACACAGTGAGGCATGGCCTAGTAAATGCAATCACTGAGCTCTGCTGTCTCTTGCTAGACTGTTTGAATTATCTCATTGCCAGTCTGTGAGGACTGTGGAGTGGAATTTCTCTCCCCGGCACTGAAAGTGGAGGCCCATTGTATATCCATTCCCCTTAACATTTTCAAGCCTTCCTGCTGTCCTTCCTTCTTCAACTATACCGTGTCCTCTGCAGCCCAGGAAAAGGAAAATCAGAGTTGAAAAGCAAGGCAGATCGACCCAAAAAGTTTTAACTTGGTTTTTGAGCTTCTCAGGTCTCCTGTTGTAGAGAGTTGCAGAAAGATTTGTTTCAAAGAAATTTTAACTATATACATATTGTTCATTTCTGGAATTCAGATTCTAACTCCTAAATATGATGCGATGACTCTGGAACTCACTTTCCTAGTGATTCAGCTTATCTGCTTCTCCTAGCTGGCAGCATTTCTGAAGGCAGTGAGATTCAAAAGGTCTGGATGTGTATTCACAATTCTGTGTTGGGTAGTAGAGAAGGGGATGATCATATATTTCTAGGTGGACTTTGGCCTCCACCCATGTGAGTCACATGCACCCTGTAATGAAATAGTCCCACTCCATGTCTTCATTTTTCAGTTCAGAAAAATTGTTGAAACATGATCATTTATTACTTCTGTCTAACCACATGACAAAGTCAGATATTTTCAAAATCCTGAGGGCTGTGGTAAATGAGGTGTCTGTCTGTAGAGGCTGGAGCAGAGCCTTAACTGTTAGGCAGCAAAAAACAAAACAAGTTTTGTACTTTGTCGTTTTCACAGTTCCTTCATAAACATTGTTATTTCATTTGATTTTTCCAGCAACTGTGCAAGAAGGTGGCTGGTTTCATTCTACAGAGAAAAAGTGAGGCTCAGAGATGTTTAGCAACTTAACCCAAGGTCGCATAGGAATTTACAGAGGCAGACTTTGACCCCAGATCTTCTGTTACCTCTGAGTCTAGTGCTGCTTTTTCCACGTGGCATCACTGATGGTACCAGACCCTGTGTTCCAGTCACAGCTTGCCCTGCAGCTAGAATGCAAACAAAAGCTGCTCATCTAAGCTTCCTTCGACAGCTGGAGCACCTCTGTGATTTTTAAATGAGCCTCAAGTCTGAGTGTCAGCTGAACTGAGTCATATACCGTGATGTCACTAAGACTTTGATGCTAGTGGGTACAGAGGTTAGACAATGTCTTCAGACGATGTAGTAACCCATTTGTTAGAGGAGAAACGTTTAAGGTTACTTAGGGAATACTAGGAGTGGGAATCCACTTAAGGAATAACAGAGTAGAAATTTTAGGAGTTGTGAAAGAAACTTGAAAGAATTCTCTTGTGTTTTCCTTTGTTTTCCCCCCGTTTCTACCTCTGAAGAGCTAAACTGAGTTAAGCATTCCTTCAGTACTAATGATCATTTCTTTAGTCAGGAAGGATGTCTTTCTTCTGTGGGAGTTTTCTGTGTTTCAGAACCAGGAAAGTAAAGTTTTAAAGACTGACATCAAAGATTTTTGAGAAGTCCTTTGAAAAGCATTTGATCTTTTGGTTCTTAGAAATTTTATGACATTGCTGGTTTTGTCCAGTGAAATGTTAAAGCCAGAAGAGCAAACCTTGATACCAGGTTTTGCAGGTGTTTTAAGAAAGAAAATATAATCTTGTCAGTAGGTGGTCGGTGAGTTTGGGCCCCCAGCCCCAGTTTAGCTTCAGTTTAGCACATGTACAGTAATTATAAGAAAAGGTAGTTGAAAATTAACTGTGGCTTCTGTTTTATGTGTGTCTTTTTTTAATAGTCTTTTTTCCCTTGCTTTGTGTTTTTAAAGACATACGGGATTATTCTTAATTGGTCCGCTTGTGAAGGACTACACCCAGGAAGGTGGCCAGAACGTTCTTCTCTCCTCCTAAAAAGGTTAAATGGCCTGGACTGCCTGTTTTCCTGGACACAGCTTAGTCTGTTTGCAGAAGTGAATTCGTGTTTGCTAACTGCAATTTCCTGTCTGCTAATCCTTTGTTTACCACTTTCTCTCCCCTATTGTTAAGAATATCATCTGGTGGACCTTATTTTTCCAGGCGGAAAAAACCATCTCAGAGTGACTGGTAATCAGGGAATTTGCTTATTAGCTTGACTGTCTAGCAAAGACATATCTATAAACTTAACACATTCTCCCTCTGCCTTCCAGCCCCTCCATATCTGTATTTCCCTAGATTTTTGAAAAGCTTTGGTAGTTTTTAATGTTATTCAGGTAACAAGAGCAGTTCAGAATTATGGGAATTCCATGAAGTATTAATCTATTAAATGTAAAAGAAATTATATTTTGTATTAAACCGGGTATTTTCTACTAGATTTTAGTGGCAGTGAGGGATAGTCACCCAAGACTTATGAACGTTAATGAGAGCAACTTAGAATCAAGAATTCTTCCCTCCACCAGTTGGCTGCTGTTCCCCTTCAACAGCAGGTCGCTTCACCTCAGCACAAGTGGCAGAGCCCCTGTTGTGCAGGAGCGAAGTTTTTGAGTTGTGCTGGCTGGGGCAAACTGGGGCTCTCCTTTCAAACACATGGGGTTTCCACTTCCAGCATTGCTCCTTAGAGGCTCTGTGGGCTCGGGTGCAGCAGGTTTCCCCCCTCTTTGATGTCACGTCATCATTTATGAGTAGGGATACCACCTGCCTCATAATGTTGTGAGCATGAATTGGCCTAATATATTTGAAAGCACTTTGTGTGCCTGGTACATGCGAGGAATCAATCCAGGGAACATTCATTTTCTCTTCTTACCGAGTCTGGTTCCCTTTGAGTTATGTTGTAGGTGTTCTATCTATTTCTTGAAGCTTTTTGTCAGTTCCTCATACCTGCATTCAGTGAGTGAGCTGGGGAAGAAGAACTCTCTGTACAGCTAAGCATTATGGGAACACCAGCCCAGGGGTGTTGGTTCACTTCCATCCTGGAAGTAAACAGGAAGTGCTTACTCATGAGTCCATAGAGTAAATAAATTAATACTGTAAAATTTAATTTAAAAAACTTTATTTTAATTGAAATATAGTTTACAAATAAGTTTTTAAGTACACAGTGCGGTAAGATTCGAAAATGTAACCACCTCCCCAATTAAGATCTAGAAAAAATTTTCCATTGCCTTACTGAATTTGATTTTAATACTTTTATTTAATTGGGCTCTTAAATTTGGCAACAAGTAGTAATTTAACTATATATTGGCTACATAAACCAACTTACTGCTAATACTGACTAGTGAATGGATTGCTCTCTGGGGTTTATTATTGCAATTTATTTGGGATCCAAAAATTTTCAAATTAAGGTAGAGTCATTTCATCACTTCTCATGTTTGGGATTTCCCTTGACTTTGTACTAGAGGTTCTTTGTGGATTTATTTATGGTGTTTGTTTGATTTTTCCAGGTCTTGTCCAGAAGGCTAAGAAAGCCAAGAACAGGCTGTTGAAACGAGAAGGAGATGACCGAGCAGAATCAGGGACACAAGGCTATGAGTCTTTTAGCTATGGAGGGGTTGACCCTTATATGTGGGAACCCCAGGAACTTGGTAAGAAATTCTGTTCCTTCACTCAGCAAATGTTTGAGCATCTTGACGTCCTAGGTGATGTTTTAAGAGTTGGCTGAGGAGGCATCAGTAAACCAGAATGGTCTAAGCTTCTCACGGTCCTTATGTCCCAGGGGGCAAAAATGGACCAGAATGGGCTGAGCGTCTGCTTTGTGTTAGGCACATGCTTTACACGAGGACTCATTTAATCCTCACTGCACTTGATGGGGACCTTCCCAGAACCAAATAGCTCTGCAGCTACAGAAATGAGATAGGCATCCAGGTGTTTGACATCAGCCCTGGCAGAGACTCCATTCACTTGGCTGTCTCCTCTCGTGTAGGACATTACCTGCCTAGCAAGAGGCCCTCACCGATTTGTGCAACTGAATTTTCGAAGCACGTAATTACCGTACCAACTACTGACTTTCAAAATAATAATCTTTTTGGGGTGATGAAAATGTTCTACAGTTTCAGTGATGGTTGTGCAACTCTGAATATACTAAAAACTATGGAATTTGTGTGCTTTAACTAGTGAATTGTATATCCATGAATAATATCTCAACAGAGCTATTACCAAAACTGCCACATGAAGTTGAACTAGCTAATCTTACGTGTCCTTAAACTGTTGCATGATAACAAAATTTAATATAATACTTTTTGTTCATGCAGTGGATAATGATTTACTCATAAGGCTTTATTATACTTTCATATTCATATGAGGTGGAATGGATAGTGATGCTCATTCCCATTTACAGATGAGGAAATAGGCTGTACAAAGGGAATCGATATTTATCCAAGGTCATCTACTGTATTCTTCTTATAGGGCCGCTATGGAATGCGTCTTTTTGGATGAGAAAAATCTTAGAAGTGCACTATCCAATACGATAGACACTAACTACATGTGGCTTTTAAAATTTAAATAAGTTAAAATTAAGTAAAATTTAAGTCATTTCCTTAGGGAACCCTGGGTGGCTCAGTTGGTTAAGCGTCCAGCTCTTGATTTCAGTTCAGGTCATGATCTCACGGTTCGTGGGATTGAGCTATGAGTTGGGCTTTGTGATGACAGTGCAGAGCCTGCTTGGCATTCTCTCTCTCCCTCTCTCTGCCATTCCCTCAATCATTGTCTCTCTTTCTTTCTCTCAAAATAAATAAACTTAAAAAAAATCATTTCCTCAGTCATACATTAGCCACATTTCAAGTGTTCAACCTGCACCTGCGGCTTGTGGCTACCATATTGGAGAGTGGAAACATTTTCATTATGGCAGGAGAAAGTGGCTTTAAAAATAATAGTATATAGGGGCGCCTGGGTGGCTTAGTCGGTTAAGCGTCCGACTTTCGCTTGGGTCATGATCTCGCGGTTCGTGGGTTCGTGCCCCGCGTCGGGCTCTGTGCTGACTGCCAGCTCAGAGCCCGGAGCCTGTTTCAGTCTGTGACTCCCTCTCTCTCTGACCCTCCCCTGCTCACGCTGTCTCTCTCTCTTTCTCCTAGAAATAAAAAAAAATAAAAAAAAAAAATAATAATAGTATATAATGTAACGCTTTTAATTATATTTAAGTAGAAAAATTAAATTAAAAATTTCACATCGTGTTGTACACCTGAAACTAATATAGCATATCTTAATTATGCTTCAATTTTAAAAAATAGTAACTATCATATAATTATGAGTTACATATGCAAGTCAGTTCGAAACATGAAGGAGAATTTGTGAATTCTTAATAGCTTTTTGATAGCCTATTTCATGCTTCCCAGTGTTAAATTTAAATTGTCAGAGGAATTTTCTGATTAATTTGCCTGTTTTCAACAACTGAAGAAGTCAAAATTGTGCAAGGTCGAGAGAATGGCAGATTTTAGAGGTTAATATTTACAGTCACCCCTAAGAATTTGAAACTAAAATTTAATTAGACGTTAGCGAGTATGGTAGGGGAGAGGAGAGCGAAGATGATACAGAGGGTAGCGTGTGAGCAGCTCCAGGTAGGGCACCATGTAGAAATGGACATGGTTGGGAAGAGGAAGTGGACTGCGTGCTGGGGGCAGGGCAGCTGCCAGGGGAAGGGCTGGTGTTTTGGAAGAGGGAATAACTGTTTCAGATATGCTGAGACCACAAGCTGCTTGCTTCTGTTTGTGTGAGAAGGCCCATCCTGGGTCTGTGCTGCTGGACTGAGCAAGGTGTCAGGTTAGCTGGCTCCTCCAGAAGCACTTGTTGGCAGTTACATTTTGGGGAATATTTTGAGAAGGACTGTTTTTATTCTGATGAAGAACCATAGTGTGCCAACAAGTAGAGAAAAGAATGAGAGATGTCTAAGAATTGCCCATAATGTTACTGTCCTTTTGACTGAACAAAAATGGATGTGCCAGACAGTGCTCTAAGGGCTTTATACCTTTTAACTTTCTAATCCTCATAACTCTGTGGAGTGAGTACTCTTGTTATGCCCATCTTATAGATGAGTGCTCCCAAGTTACAGGCATGGTAAGGACCTTGTCTAACGTCACACAGCGTGTGGCAGAATTGACACTTGAACACAGGTTGCTTCCAGTCCAGGCTTTTATCCACTGTCCTCTGAGGTCTCTGGGATTGTACTCTGGCCTCCAAGGTAACCACGGTTAATGAACATTTTAGCAAATTTGTTTCCATTTGCTTGACTTTGAATTTTTAGTAAGACTCTAAACTAGAATTTCTACTTGCATATAAAAATCATTGAGGATAAGCAGCAAGAGAGAGGTGCTCTTTCACAGAACTGACAGGTCATTTATCTCCCCATCTCCTCTCTTTCTAGGTGCTGTGAGAAGCCATCTTTCTGACTTCAAAAAACACCGAGCTGCCAGAATTGACCACTACGTGGTTGAAGTCAATAAATTAATAATCAGGTTAGAGAAGGTAAATTTTATTGTTTTAAACCCTTTTGTTTTCCTGCAAGTGTAAACCTTCTGGGAGAAAATAATTCTATTTCTACAGTGTGTACTATGTATGTCGTATACATCTGATGCTGGCAGAGAAGCGCACCATCTAGAGCCCATCTAGAGAGGCACAGAGGACCTGGTGGACGGTTCTAGCTTGGGCTGGAACCCAAGTGTGAATCCCTGTGTGTTACTGAAGGACAGGGCCCAGGCTGACAGACTTGCATAGCCAGCTCTCCTGTTCCTTTCTGTGAAGCCCACTTGGCTGCTGGAAGAACCTTTTTGCCTTCAAATTATTTCCTCTTTTGGGTGTCCCAAGTACAAACACACAGTGGGGCACCCACACAGTAAGGCATAGTGTGTGACACTTGATAGCAAACAGAGAGGCTGGTGACAAGGTCTGTGAGGACTGTTCAGCCAGGGCCAGCGTTAGTGTGGGAACTTCTTGACTGGGCCATCTTTTTTTTGTTTTTGTTTTTTTTATTTCTGAGAGAGACAGAGACAGAGACAGCGTGAGCAGGGGAGAGTCAGAGAGAACACAGAATCTGAAACAGGCTTCAGGCTCTGAGCTGGCTGTCAGCACAGAGCCCAACGTGGGGCTTGAACCCACGAACTATGAGATCATGACCTGAGCCGAAGTCAGACACTTAACCGACTGAGCCACCTGGGCGCCCCTTGATTGGGCTATCTTGTCCTGTAGTACCAGAGTGCATCTTTAATACCGCAATCATTCTTTTTTTTTTTTTTTTTTTTTTTTGGCTTATTTATTTATTTTGAGACTGAGAGAATGCATGAGCAGGGGAGGGGTGGAGAGAGAGAGAATCCCAAGCAGGCCCCACACTGTCAGCATAGAGACCCAGTGTGGGGCTCGGACTTATGAACTGCAAGATCATGACCTGAGCCAAGATCAAGTCAGACACTTAACCAACTGAGCCACCCAGACACCCTAGTACCACACTCATTCTGTTCTACTTTGACCTGTATATAACCTGGATTGTGTGGTGGGCATGGTAGCAGCTGCGGGTATGACTCTTGATGTGTCCTCTGTAGGGCAGGAATACGTGGCCAGTTTCACTGTCCAGGAGGACTGTGGAGAATCAGGAGCTCTCCATTGCTCTCAGTAGCCACACCCGGCACGTCCTTGCCTACACCCTGCTTATTGCTTAAATGGGGAACTGACAGTAAAGAGATTGGAATCAGGTCATGGGAAGGGAGCTGCCTTCTAGATGCAAAGCTAATATTCTGTCTCATGAAAAATTGCTTTTGTGACTTTTTGGGGTTGGTGATGACAGGTGAGACTTGAGAAATGAAGGTGTGCAAATTCCTGCTTGATGCCTTTTGCCTGTGGAGAGTGTACACATCACCCGTTTAACTCCATTTGTGCTGTTTTGTCTTTGTCAGCTCACTGCATTCGACCGGACGAATACCGAGTCTGCTAAGATACGAGGTAACTCCAGAATTTTGCTCATATTCATTCTGTTTCTCTTTCTCTCTTTCTCTCTAATCAAACATCTTTTTTTTTTTTTTTTAATGGCTTGCTTTTCTGTTAGTTTGATTTTTGCTTTGTTCTTCCTAAAGCTATAGAAAAGTCGGTGGTGCCTTGGGTCAACGACCAGGATGTTCCTTTCTGTCCAGACTGTGGGAATAAATTCAGCATCCGTAACCGCCGCCACCACTGCCGGCTCTGCGGGTCTATTATGTGCAAGAAGTGTATGGAGCTCATCAGCCTCCCTTTTGCAAGTAGGTAACATGAGGGGGTGCCCTGGATGCTCATCTCCTCTTGTGACTGGCTTGTTTGCTGATCACCACTGAGTGTTTTTTTTGAACAATTTTGTCTGAGTTAATGACCCATGGGATCTTCATCCATTCACTTATTGATTCCATGAAGCCTGCTACAGGCTAGGCACTGTGCTAGGACCCAGGGATACAGTGGTGGATAACAAGATCTGGCAACCTTTTTCTGTAAAAAAAATCAGATAGTAAATGTTTTAAGCTTTGTGGGCTGCAAACAGTCTCTGTGACATGTCTTTTTCTTTTCTTAAACAACCGTTTAAAAACCATACTTAGCTCAAGGGCCACACAAAAGCAGGCTGGACTTGGTTTGCAGGTCATGTTTGCCTACCTCTGGTCTCTAAGACATCATCCATTCTCCCAAAGTGTCTAGCATCTAGCAGAGGATACAGACTTAAAAACAAATAATTGCTTTATAAAGAGATAAGTACTCTGGGAGATATTGCGTCAGACACTCGGGAGACCTGACCCAGTTGTTGTCAGTTCTGCTTGGAAGTGGAGATTATAGGAGAATGTCTTAAAAAATGAGCACCAGGCTGTCCCTCCCTTTGAGAGTAAAGTCACAAACAGTTCATTGTCATATAGAACAGACTGTAACATCATAATATGAGAGGCACTGAGTGCTGGGGGGATCAAGAGCATGGATGCTCAGGTTTGGGAGGTGGTGTTCGAGAAGAGCCTTATGATCAGGATTGCAAAGAGCTAGGGCTGGAGGGATCCCAGGTAGTGAAGAGCAGGAGCAAAGCTGTGGAAAGGCCCTGGGGAAGGTTAGCAGGTGAGTAGGAATCGTTGGGGGAGTGTAGAAGACACATCTGAGAGTTACGGGGATGGTGGCTACAAGGCTGAGTGGAACTGCAGAATCAGGACTCTGAGTCTCAGCTAGTTAAAAGTTGCTAAAGATGATCCCCTGGGCTTTGGGCCAATTCTGGGACATTGAGAGTGGTTTTGCAACCCTGGAGAGTTCTGCTAACTCTGCATGTGCTGTTGGCTGCAGAGCATCTGGGCAACATGGGGCAGAAGCAGATGTTTCCTGTGTCCAATTCTCCCTGCCAGCAGGCACACATCACCCCTATACCTTCCCTTTCTCCCTGAGGCTTTGTGTCTCACCTGAGGCTTGATAAGCTATGTTTTTGGGACACTATTCACCTTTCTTGTCTTCAGCAAACTGTTCAGCATTTACTGGGCAACTGCTGTGGGGTAGCCCTGTTGTATATATGGGGTACAAGTATGAATAAGGCAGTTCCTGCCCTCTGAGAGTCACAGATTCATAGAGCAGCCTTGGGTATATGTAGCACAGTCATACTGGGGGAAAAGTGGAAAGTGCTCTAAGAGGGTGATATGGTAGGAACTGATAGGAAGGGCAGGTTGTTTTTTGCCTCAAGGAATACAGTTGGGCTTCCTGAAGGATGTGCCATTTGAGCTGAGCTTTGGAAGGAGTAGGAGTCAGATGTTTGGGAGTGGGGAAGTCTGTCAGGACAGTCTAGGGAGAATGTGGATTGTGTTGGAGGCAGAGCAGATGGAGGAGGGCAGTTAGGGTCAGGTTAGGAATGGGCCTCAGAGCCTCAAAGAGACCTTCCTAGGCTGTGTGGCTCTTTCCTGGCTGGCAGCGAGAGTCCTTCCCACCGCAGAGCCTGACCCCAGGAAGGCAGGGGTGTGGTGCTTCTTGCCCATAGACAGAGCCTCTCTCAGCACCTGTGGCCTCCCCTCTGTTGTGAGCAGTGGGGTGACTGGAGGCTGCGAGCTCACTGCTGCCTGTCCTGTGTTGTGCTTTACAGACAAGCTCACCAGTGCCAGCAAGGACTCCTTGAGCACCCACACCAGCCCCAGCCAGTCACCCAACAGTGTCCATGGCTCCCGCCGGGGCAGTATCAGCAGCATGAGCAGTGTAAGCTCTGTCCTGGATGAAAAGGATGACGACCGGATCCGCTGCTGTACACACTGCAAGGACACGCTGCTCAAGAGAGAGCAGCAGATTGACGAGAAGGAGCACACCCCCGACGTTGTAAAGCTCTATGAGGTGACTCACTGTGTGTGGTCCTGGGTCTGATGCAAGATGCAGATTTGGCTGTTAATTATGTACACGCCTGCACATTTTGGAGAATGCTTTGGGAAGTTGTTCCTTTTTTTTTTTTTTTTTAATTTTTAAAAAATGTCTTTATTTTATTTTGAGAGACAAAAGGGGGTAGGGCAGGGAGAGAGGGAGACACTGAGTCCGAAGCAGGCTCCAGGCGCTGAGCTGTCAGCACAGAGCTCGACGTGGGGCTCAAACCCACAGACTGTGAGATCATGACCTGAGCTAAAGTCAGATACTTAACTGACGGAGCCACCCAAGTGCCCCAGGAAGTTGTTCCTTTAAATCATTTTTCGTCTCTGCTAAAGGGCTACAGTGTGTTATCTTAGCTAGGGCCCTGGGTGATTCAGTCATGGGGGAGTGTTGTAGCAACCTTGTTCCCTCTCCCCTCCTTGCCTGCTTGAAAACAGGAGGTTGGAGACTTTGGTGCCCCAGGGGCAAGAGGAAAAAGGATGGTTGCCATGGGGTGTGGACAGGATTTGAGGGTGAGGGCAGAAGCTGGGGCAGGTGGTGAACAGTGGGCCAGAGGAGTCCTGGGAAACTCACTTGGGAGCTTCAGGCTATACGAGTTTGAGTGACTGTCCATGAGCATAGAGCTTCCCCTTTAAAAAAATTTTTTTATGTTTATTTTTGAGAGAGTGTGTGAGTTGGGGGTGAGGGGGACAGAGAGAGGGAGACACAGAATCCAAAGCAGGCTCCAGGCTCTGAGGTCTCAGCACAGAGCCCCGCACAGGGCTTGAATTCACAAACCGTGAGACAGAGCTTCCTCTTGTAAGCCCATTTAGTTGCCTCAGCTGTCATTACCACCAGCAGTCCCACAGCACCATTGGTAGATGCTCACTCTGAGAGGAATGTGGTGTAATGAAAAATGGGATTTAGTGTCAGTGTAGGGGCGAGACTGCCTCAGCCTCTCAGTGGCCAAGGGGGTCCTGCAGGCCGAGGAGAAATTGCCAAGTGAAGGTTTTGCAGGGAGGCGATAGGAGATGGGGAAAAGATCATTCTGGGCAGCGGAAGTCTGCAAAACGCCAAGGAGAGGAAGAGTGTATAGGTCTTCTTCGACTTACGGTGGGGCTACATTCTGATAAACCCATCTGAAGTTGAAAATACCCTACATTCTGATAAACCCATCTGAAGTTGAAAATACCCTAAGTCAAAAATGCATTTAATGTATCTCACCTACTAAACATCATAGTTTGCCCTGGCCTACCTTAACCATGCTAGGAACACTTACATTAGCCTACAGTTGGGTAGAATCCTCTAACACAAACCTATCTGATAACGAAGTGTTGAGTGGGTCATGTAACTTATTGAATACCGTACTGAAAGAGAAAAACAGAATGCTTGTGAGGGTACTAGGTGTTGACCCTTGTGATTGCACAGCTGACCAGGTGCCATCCACCTCCCAGCATCCCAAGAGAGCATCTGACTGCATGTCGCTAGCCTCGGAAAAGATCTAAAACAAAGTCCCATACGGTTTCTACTGAATGCCTATCAACGCCTCACACCATTGTGGAGTTGAAAAATCATGAAGTTGGGGACCATCTCTATATTGTCTGAGGATCACTGAATGGTCACTGTTACCAGTTATGCAGGTCATAATGGCTATGTTTCTAGAGTCCCCATGGAAATACTTAGATTTCTACTAGACATGGTGTTAATGAAATCTTGTGCTGAGCTGCAGATGTAGCCACGATCCCTCCTATGTATGGAATTCATGACCTGATAACTCATTTTTGGTAAATCGCCACTGTGCTTTGTCCTTCCTTCATCTTTGAAGTGAGCCCTGGCAATGCCTTTTGCTGGTATCTTTCATCACCTGGCAGAGAAAGAATGTAGCAACCAGTTCCTTTCTCTGCCCTTGGTAAACTCATTGGCTTGTGTCCTGGAAGGCCTTGCTCCTTGCAAAAACATCCGGTCAGAATGCTGTCACTTTCCTTCCTGCAAGATTTACTGCTTCTAAAGGAGGTCTGTATATCAGGAAATTGATAACAACAGTAAAAACAAACAAAAAGCACTCTCTGCATATTTCATATTAGAAAATTGTACATTTTTTTAATTAAAAAAAATTTTTTAAGTAGATTCCTTATCCAATATGGAGCTTGAACTCACAACCCTGAGATTAATCTTACTGACTGAGTCCGCCAGGTGCCCCAAAAACTTTAGATTTTAAATATATCTCTGTTGATAACGGCATAACTTTTCTGTACCTTGAGAGCACCACTTACCTCTTCTTTTTTCTTCTTAGAAATTACGACTATGCATGGAGAAAGTTGACCAAAAAGCTCCCGAATACGTCAGGATGGCAGCATCATTAAAGTAAGCTGTTCCCTGTTTTTCTAATTCGGTGATGACTGTTTTCTGGCTCTTTAGGGCAGCTCCTCAGTAGCTGAAAATGAAAATCATAACTCTGGCTATGCTTTTCTTCTGTGAGCAACCGCGGGGAATCTTTGTCATATCTGTGTAGTCCCGTGTAGCCATGTTCAAGTGACCCCAGTCATTCTGCTTGAGCAGGTTCCTGGGCCCCACTGCCAAGTGCAGCCTCTGGAGGGGAGCAAGGACAGGGTTCCTCATGTGCCCGCCTGGCCAGATGCTACTTCAGGGTGGCGTCAAGATGTCAGGACTTAAAGCAAGCATTTCCTTTAGAGCAGGGATTCGCACATTGTAGCTAATGGGTCCAGTCTAGCCTGTCATCTCTTTCTTTCTTTTTAATTAAGATACAATTCACACACCAAAACATTCACCCTTTTTTTTTTTTTTTTTTTTTATTTATTTTTAGGAGAGAGAGAGAGAGAGCGTGAGCAGGGGAGGGTCAGAGAGAGAGGGAGACACAGACTGAAACAGGCTCCAGGCTCTGAGCTGGCAGTCAGCACAGAGCCCGACGTGGGGCTCGAACCCACGAACCGCGAGATCATGACCTAAGCGAAAGTCAGACGCTTAACCGACTAAGCCACCCAGGCGCCCCAAACATTCGCCCTTTTAATGGGTACAGTTCAGTGGTTCTTTAGTATATTCACCAAGTTGTATAGCCATCATCACTGTCTTAATTCTAAACCATGTTCATCATTCCAAGAAACCCCATACCCATTAAGTGGTCACTGCTCATTTCTCCTCTCCGTAGCACTCACTGGTCTGCTTTCTGTCTATGGATTTGCCTATTTTGGACATTTCTTATAAATGGAATCATAAATATATATGATCTTTGATGTCTGGCTGCTTTCATGAGTGTAATGTTTTCAAGGTTCACTCCTGTGGTAGCAAGTGTTAGTGCCCATCCCTTTTGTGTGAATGCATTTTATGGATAGACTGCATTTTGTTTATCCATTAGTCCATTGATGAACATTTGGGTTTTCCCACTTCTGGCTGTGATGAATAATGCTTCAGTGAATATTTATGCATAAGTCTTCTTGTGGACATACAATTTTATTTCTTCTGAGTATATACCTAGATGTGGAGTTGCTGGATCAATAAGGGTTTCAATTTCTCCATATCCTTGCCGACACTTGTTATTGCCACTTGTTTTTATAAATAACATTTTATTGCCACATAGCCATGCCCATTTATTGGATTATAACCACACACTACAGCAGAGTTGAATAGTTGTGACAAAGACTATATGGCAAAGCTAAAAATGTTTATTCTATGGCCCTTTACAGAAAAAATACACTGACATTTCTTAGGAGCATTGCCTCTTCTGTAGGTTAGTGATACTTGAGCTAGAGTTTGAAGTGCTACCATTAGAATCGGATTCCCGCAGTCTTTTCCCAACCTGCAGGAAAGAAGATGATGGTATCCATTGCTTTTGATTTGAGGATTATCTGCCTTTGTTTTTATTTGCCTATTTACTGTGGCAATGCATTCTAGTGTCCCCACAAGTAAAGTTTGGCTTTTCCTTCATGATGTCAGTGACTACATCCTAAGTCTGTTGTGTGGGTCTCACATGAAAAGAAAATGAACTTTTTCATTTACAGGGTCCCTAAGGAGTTGCTTGACTTATGAGTCTGTAAATGTCTGACTTATAGAATACGAATGGCCAAACCCAGTTGGTTTGTGGCAAAAACACCCTTTCCCTTGTATGTCTCCTCTGCTGCCTCTGCTCTTGCTCTGGGACTCTTCTTCCAGCCCTGTTCCCTCCCCCAGTGTTTGCCAGCCCACAGGAAAGGGGGAGAGAGGTGGGGAGAGAGCAGAAAAGAAGTAGGGAAACCGTTGCAGACCACCCCCGTGTCCTCCTGTCCTAGCACCTGGACGTATGTGGCCGCTGGCAGCAGACAGTGTACGGGGAGGAACCCGTTTCTCCAGCCCTCTCAGCCACCACTACACCTTCTCTTCTATTTTTACCTTCCGTACCCCTTTCTTCCTCTTTTCATTCCAAGAACAAAGAACGACAGGAAAGGACACAGTTTCTTTTCTCCCTGCAGTTCACTGAGCAAGTTCGATCAGTGGAGTGTATACCCTCCCTGTGAGTAGGTTGGGAGAAGCAGCTCAAGTCATCCTGATATATAGCTCCCCTAAATGGAGACTCATTGGCTTGGAGCACCTGCCTTATGTTTTCTTCCTCCCTGGAACTTACTCGAGTGAACACCCTTCCTCCCAGCTGTGCCCATTGGTTTGAAGTCATGACAGGATTATCTTCTTCCTGGATGCCAGCAAGGAGAGCTGTGTTCTTGGCCTTCTGAGCTGGCACTCCACTTTCCCTCAGGATGTTGTTACACATGGGGCTTTTCTCCCCGAGTCTGTTATTTTTCTTGCTTTGTGCCTCAGACACAGTTGTGGGTTAAGGGGCCTCCCCATCCAGCTGGGGAACTACCATTGCACAACACGTTTCCAGATGTCTAACTCCTACTCCTTCTCCAAAGACTGGTTCTAAAGGGCTTTAAGCGCTCTTTACTCCCTCATTCGTTCGATGGATATTTATGGAACACTAGCTATGTGCCAAGTACTATTGTGCTAGGACTGTAGCAGTGAGCAGCAAAGACTGTGTCCGCTGTCATAGAGCTTCATTATCATGGGAGCACAGGCCACAACCAAGTGAACAGTCATGAACAAGATAACTCCAGGTGTGATAGGTGCTCTGTGGGAAGTATGTTTGTTGACGTGCTTTCAGATTTGGGCCAACTTGTTATTTTCCACATGACTTGGAGATACCAAGGTGAAGTGCATGCATTCTCAATTCTGGTGTGATGTTCTTTTTGCAAACTGTGCAATTTGAGATGATGAAAGCACCTTATTGGATCCTGCGGTTACAGCGCACACCAAGATTTTTCCAACTAGAACTGTCTCCTAGATGGTAAATGAGGTCAGCGCCGCAGTCATTTCTCCTTATTTCCCTTAAATTGCTGCTGCCTCAGAAAGGGGGTTGAGTGGCCATGCTGAGGCTGCCTTAATAGCTGTGAGATCTTCCCAAGTGTTTCTCTTTTCAGTGAACATTGATGATGCTTGGCCATGTGCTAGTTCCTGAGGATATAAAAATGAAAAGCCATCATCATTGCACTTGGATTTTGGGACTGATGGGGGTGACAAACTTGTAAATGAACAATTCTAAGATCACATAATAACTGCTATTACTCCTTGGAGTTGTAGAATTAAGCCACTTCTGGCCTTCTCTGAAGCCCCCTGCTCCATCCTGGGTACTCCTCCCTTCCTAATTTGGAGTCAAAGTGCTTTTCTCATGTAGGGAGCAATTGTTCATGAGACCCAAGGGCGTGGAGCAATTGATCTGATGCCGTGCTTCTTGTCGCTAGGTGTTAGGGATTCCTGTTCTCCCTGCGTAGTCTGAGTGAGAAAAGCCAGCCCCTTTCTCCTCTGATGTGGTGTAGCCAACTTACTTACTAACCCACTTCATGTGTCTAACTAGGTAGAATGAAATTGTTTAGGGAAAGTAGGCTGAAGGAGATTCATTTGCATTTATTTTGGTGACAGATGTTAAGAGCTATTCTTTAGAGGCCTAGGCACAAATCTGTTCCTGTGGTGTCTGCAAACTAAAAGAACTAAAAGCAGCTTCTGGGTGATTAGCACTTATATTTAGAAGAGGAATGAGCCCTTGTGTAGCAACATGGATGGAATTTGAGGATGTTATGCTGAGCGAAATAAGTCAGGCAGAGAAGGACAGCTACCATATGTTTGCACATATAGGAGGATTAGGAAGAACTTAATGGAGGCCTGTGGGGGAGAAAAAGGGGGGGGGAAATAGTAAGGGAGAGGGAGGGAGGCAAACCATGAGAGACTCCTGAATGCTGAGAACAAACTGAGGACTGATTGGGGTGGGGAGGAGGGGGAGGGGGGAGGTGGACATGGAGGAAGGCACTTGTGGGGATGAGCACTGGGTGTTATATGGAAACCAAATTGACAATAAACTATTTAAAAAAAAAAAAAGAGGCTGGGACACCCAGGTGGCTCAGTCAGTTAAGCAGCCGACTTCGGCTCAGGTTACGATCTCACGGTTCGTGGGTTTGAGCCCCACGTCGGGCTCTGTGCTGACAGCCAGCTCAGATTCTGGAGCCTGTTTCCGATTCTGTGTCTCCCTCTCTCTCTGACCGTCCCCTGCGCGCTCGCGCGCTCTCTCTCTCTCAGCAATAAATAAAACATTAAAAAAAAAAGAAGGAATGAGCCCTGCATTATACACAGGAGTCTGAAATAATACCACTTGGAGAGAATTAGCTGTGTCTACCTTTGTAAGGTCCTAAGCCTTTAGAGCCCTTTTACACAATGCTCTCCAGTCAGCATGATGAAACTTGGATTGAACCTTTCTATGATTTCTCCTTAGTGCTGGGGAGACCACCTACAGTCTGGAACATGCCGGTGACCTTCGAATAGAAGTGCAGAAAGTGTATGAGCTCATAGATGCTTTAAGGTAACGTCTATTAGGTGATGTCTGACTTGCTTCCTTGAGTGGAGGAGGTACAGTTTCAATGAGAGGGGTGGATGTCTGGCAGGCCTGAGCTTACCTGGAGTCCGGGGGAGTATGTGTGGGGAGTAGGCTGAGGGTAGGTGCCAGCCATGGCTTTCAACACATCCCAGCAACTTGGTTAAGACTTCTAATGTTCAGTATTATTAAAGAAATAGAAACTGATTCCTGACACCATCGGTGTGCCAACCTTTGGTTGTATCCACATCTCATTTATTCGACCAAAATTACCTGGTGTGGAAAGCAGTAATACCCTCATTTTGTAGGTGAGAAAATGCATCACAACTGGCAAAGTGGTGGTGCCAGGATAGAAGGCCAGATTCTTTTTGCGGGTCAACAGCTGCTTTTTAGCCATGGACTAGATGTTGGAGTTAAATCAGCCCTTTGAGGTGTGGAAAGTATAGTGATTCAGAGGGAGAATGTGGGTGAGGCAGCCTTGTCCATCCGTCCATGCAGGACTGACTAGGTAATTTGCGGGACCTAGTGCAAAATGACAATGCAAGTCCCTGGTCAGTATTATTAAGAAGTTTAGAACCGTGACAGCAGAATATTAAACCAGGCCCAGGCTCCTGAAGTTGGCCCTACAGGTGTGGCCAGTCCCTTGTTGGGAGAGTGTTGGTCATTCATCCTGTGCTGTGTCGGGGCCTTGGGTACAACCACAGCGTAAGAAATGGGCTTTGCCTTGAAGGAGCATTTGTGGTCTTTAACCTGCTTCCTCCACGGATGGTCCTGACATGAAAGCCTGGCCACTCCGGGATTGCTCCCTTGTTCCTGGGGCCAGCAGTGCCTGTTACATTGATGCGTTTTTTCCAATTCAGTAAGAAGATCTTAACCTTAGGCTTGAACCAGGACCCTCCGCCACATCCAAACACTTTGCGGCTGCAGAGGATGATCAGATACTCAGCGACGCTTTTCGTGCAGGTAAAGCCATCCTGTGGTGGCAGAAACTTCTCACCTGCCTCCCCTGCTTTCTACCTCTCAGAAGGCAGACCACACCAGTGGCTTGTTTTCTATTTGTACTCTTACTATTCTCTATAAGTGCAGTTGTGCCACACTTAGAGAAAAATCTGGACTACAAAAACAGAAACTTCTTAATTCTGTGTCCCCAGTACCATCACACATCATATTTTTCCCTTTTTTAAAAAATTTGTATTTGTTATATAAACTAGTTATGATTAATACATAGTTGCAAATTTATTTTTTTTAACACTGAATATTGTATCATAAGCAGTTTTTACATAGTCTTTGTTTAAACAGCTGTCATCTGAATGGCTAGAGAATAGGGCTTTGCATGCACCGTCCTTTAATTACTCTCCTTTCACTGGGGATCTGATAGATTCCCCTGTTTTGCTGGTTTGAATACTGCCTGATGGACATACTTATACATGCTGTTTCTTCCACGGGATGAGCTCTTAAGGGACTCTTCCTGGGCCTGGTTGGGAGGGGACAGCTGATTGTCCACAGACTGACTAACCCTGGGGGGTTAGAGAGGAGTTGTTCCTGTCTCAGCACACCTCTTGGGAGAGCCACAGCGGACCACCTTTGAGGCTGCATGACAGAGGGATCTGGTGCAGCCCTATTGGCTTGGTTTTCCAGCACCGCATTGCAGAGAAGGCCTTTTTTTTTTTTTTTAACGTCTATTTATTTTTGAAAGACAGAGTGTGAGTTGGGGAGGGGCAGAGAGAGGGAGACACAGAATCCAAAGCAGGCTCCAGACCCTGAATTGTCAGAGCAGAGCCTGACATGGGGCTCAAACTCGCAAACCACAAGATCTTGACCTGAGCTGAAGTTGGACGTTTAACTGACTGAGCCACCCAGGTATCCTGGCTCCTTGTCCTTTTGATTAGTGTTGTATTCAGCAGTCATGTGATAAGTGCCTACTGTGTACCAGGCAGTGTTCTAGGTGCGGGGTATCCTGCCATGAGCAAAAAGACACTCCTGTTCTCATAAAATTTACTTTCTAGATGGCGATCAGCCAGAAGTAACTCAAATAGATAGCTTAGAAGATGGTGAAAAGTGCTGTGGAGAAACGTAGAGCAGGGAAGGGGTAGCGGGGGTGTGTGGAGCTCAGATGGAGGCTTACACATAGACTTCATTAGGCTCATGTTCTTCCTAAAAGGATTAAAACCCAAAATTGTCTGTGGCTCCCTACAGGAAAAGTTGCTTGGTTTGATGTCATTGCCAACCAGAGAACAGTTTGAGGAACTGAAAAAGAAAAGGAAGCAGGAAATGGAGAGGAAGAGGATCCTGGAGAGACAGGCAAGTGACATGCAGGGCTGCTGGCAGCCTCTCGGGCACAGAGGCTGCCCCGGGCCTCCTGGGGGTGCTCCGTGAGGTCGTGGTCAACCAGAACGTCTCGTGCTCTCCCATTTTCATCTCTCTTCTGTTCCGTTCCAGCCTCTCCTCTGTAGACACCAGAATAGTTGTTTTTCTCCCCAGGTTAGTCGTATATTTCTTGCAGAGAGTCTGCTGATTTTCTCCCATCCAGAATACCTTGGAGGCTGCCGGTTCTCCCTGTAGCACAGGTTTCAGAGGACCCAGGCCTCAGGGAGCTCTTTGTAGAATGCTTTGAAAGACGCAACATTAAACAAAATGATGTGTGCATTTAATATCGTGTGATTGTAGTGTAGACGAGTCATACTAGACCTCAACAGTTTTAAGACCAGCATGCATCCAGTAAATAATCTAAGCTTGAGAAAATCTTCTCCCTTAGCTTACTGTTATTCATGAATTTATTTTTGAAAGCCAGGCCACGTCTCCTCCTCTCCCCTGAAACACATAAAGCATGATCTAACTTAGAAGTTGGACACCTGGTTCCTGAAGTGGGCAGTTGGAGTCTCACCATACAGGGACAGCGGTACCGTAGGGATGGCTGATGGTGTTGGTGCTGTCGGCCTGGTGACTGTGTTTCTTCTCCTCGGTTTTGGTGTCTCCCCAGGCTGCCCTGGAGTCCCAGCGCAGCCTTAAGGAACGGCGGAATGACCTGGCATCTCGTGCGGCCAATGGAGAGGTGGTGTCCCTTCGAGGGGGGCCTGCCCCCCTGAGAAAGGCTGAGGGCTGGCTCCCGCTGTCCGGAGGTCCAGGGCAGAGTGAAGACTCGGACCCGCTCCTCCAGCAGATCCACAACATCACTTCATTCATCAGGCAGGCCAGGGCCGCCGGGCGGGCGGACGAGGTGCGCACGCTGCAGGAGAACCTGCGGCAGCTGCAGGATGAGTATGACCAGCAGCAGACAGAGAAGGCCATCGAGCTGTCCCGGAGGCAGGCCGAGGAGGAGGACCTGCAGCGCGAACAGCTGCAGATGCTGCGGGAGCGGGAGTGGGAGCGGGAGAGGGAGCAGTTCCAGGCCGCATCCCTGCACACGCGGACTCGGTCCCTGGACTTCCGAGAAATCAGACCTTTTCAGCTGGAGCCTGGCAGGGAGCCTCGCACCCACCTCGCTTATGCTTTGGATCTAGGCTCCTCCCCGACTCAGAGCAGTGCAGCTCCGGAGACTCTGTCGCCCATCTCAGCTCCTGAGCCGGTCAGAGTGTGGTCAGGGCCCCCAGCCCTTGGCCAGGAACCCCTCCCCCAGAGCACCGTGCCACAGCAAAGCGAGCTGGCTTCTCTGAACCCCTTTGAGGAGGAAGACCCCTCCAGCCCTGCAGCAGATGGCACTACCAGCCCTCCGGCTGCAGAGCCTGCCTCTGGTCCTTCAGCCTGTGTCCTCAAAGAATACAATCCTTTTGAGGAAGAAGAGGAGGAGGCCATAGCAGGAAATCCCTTCACTACCCCAGACAGTCCAGCGCCCAACCCCTTCGACGAGGAAGACGAGCATCCCTACCCGAGGCCCTCAAGCCCTCTGGTTCCTGGCAACCCGTTTGAGGAAGCCACATGTACCAACCCCTTTGAGATGGACAGTGACAGTGGGCCAGAGGGCGAGGAGCCCATAGAGGAGGAGCTCCTTCTCCAGCAGATTGATAATATCAAGGCGTACATTTTTGATGCCAAGCAGTGTGGCCGCCTGGATGAGGTGGAGTTGCTGACGGAGAACCTGAGGGAGCTGAAACGCACCCTGGCCAAACAGAAGGGGGTCACTGACTGACCCCACTGACTGTGGGCCCAGGGTCTGGCAGGAGCCTGTGGAGCAGGGCAGGCTGGTGGGCGCGGCGGGCAAGGGGGAAGGGTGACAGCTACGGTGCGCACAGGGCAGGGTTAGGGCAGGGAGTCTGCTCTTGCCTGCTGCGCACTTGGAGGGTTTTCCACTACAGCTGAATAATAAAGTGGGAACCAGAACAGGAAGAGTCAGCATTCATTTGCTGTATTTCCTGGGTTGGTTTTCTGTTATTTGTGTTTTTGAATTGGGTTTTCCCTTTAGAAGGGATTTTAAATTTTCATTACCAAGGATAACTAAGTGACATTCTACTGGGCAGTCCTCGTGGGTCCATTCGCTCCTGCCTAGTCTTTGGTCCTTATGCAGTATTATAGGGAAGCCTAAAATAGGGCACTTTGTTCAGCCAAGACAGCCAAGATGGATTCCTTTAAACCTTTTCTTGGGTTGGACAGAAGTCTGTTCCTATTAGGCTTCTTTCACCTGGGGCTTCCTCTGTCCCGCTGGGCACATTCCCACCTGCGCAGTGGAAGGGTAGAGGTGCCTCATGAAGGTTTAGAAGGTTTAGACCCAGGAGAGCCCAGCACTTCTTTTTAAGAGCGGGTGGCAGGGGGTGATGTTTCACCAGGGCGTTTCCCATTCAATTTAAGTCCTTGTTTGTCTCTTTCAGGAAGTTAAAGTTCCAGTCCCAGGTATAACTGGGTCTGACCACGGGATGTTTAGAAGATGGGAGCCGGTAACTTTTTGGTTGATGGAGGCAGTAGTCTTTGGGAGAAGAGTCTGTACCCAAGTGTTACTCTGTTGGCACTGAATGATTGATGGTATAATTGTCCCTGGAGAAACCTCCCTGTAGAGCTCTGGTGACATTATTCTGGCCTGGCCTTTTTCAGAGGGCCCAGTCTGTAGTTTAGGATTGTAACCAGGAAGCTTTTATGGAACATTGCCAGGACAGTGGAAGCTTCCTTGAGTCAGAAGATAAAATAATTTTTAGGGCAAGCTGATCAGCCTTCTACTTTTTGGGTCATCCTGTCCTGATCTGGGTACCAGGGATTAGTATTAAGTAGAAATGTTTGAAGAGGCACAAGCCAGAATCATTCTGGTGGCACCACAATACTTGAATTCTTCATCAAGTAAGGGCAAAAAGGGAAATTGTGAATTTAGCTCTGGTGCTTTGGTTTACAGGAATGTAATCCTTACCTGACGTCTGACATCATGATACCCAAGTGTGCTCAGCTCTAGGTAGAGTTCCTGCAATTAGGCTTGTTGATTAATGAACAATAACTGACCACTAGTCACTTTATATCCCTTAACTAACTCTGGGTCATACTCTCACTGGTTCCTGGTGTGAGAGTTGAGATTCATTTTGTTAACCCTCCAGGAAGACCCCTGTTGGCCTTGAGAATGTTTGAAAAACATTGTGGTGTAAAGATGATCTGTATTTGTGTTGACACTAGTCACATTTCTTTAGCATCTGTTGGATTTTTGGGCTGAATGAAAAGACCCTGTATAGGGGCGTGGGAATGGGAAGTGGGTGGAGGTGTGTGGAGGATGCTTTGCTTTGGGGTTCTGTTTGCAAACAAAGGAATATGAGTGGATTGCTAATGTCGGCCAGTTACCAGCCTTGCTGATTGTTGTGGGGGTTGGGAAGTTGGCCACCAAGCATCTAAAATGTTGCCTGGTACAGACAGCTTTCTTCCACATCATGCCCTTCCTGCTCTTATTATGGAGGGTTTCACAGATGGTTGGCATGCTCCCTGTTACTCAGTCTGTCATTGCTCTCTGATTGAAGAGGAGGACACTCTCTGCACCAAAAAAGCATGTAGTTCCAGAAGCTAAATGCTGCTTTCCATCATAATTACTTTTCTTATGAAAATATCTCTCTTAATTAGCTGGTGATTTCAAATCAGACTAGTTTACTGAACATACCCTTTTCCTGAAGTCAACCCAGGTAGCAATCTCTAACTAAAAGCATTAAGAACAACACATATAAGAAGTTAAACTTAAAAACAAAACAAACAAAACACTGAATATACTAAACCAAACTAAAACCTTTTGATGTGATTGAATTCTTCCATGGATGCATTCTTCCATTTAACTCTTCCATGGCTATAGTCTATATAATCATAGACCTGACAGGAATTAGAATATTCTATCCCTAACATTTCCCAGAATTCACACAGGCATAAAGTTGGATTTATAGAGATGAGTTATCAGGGTAAAGATGGGCCTATGGATTGCAACCACAGCTTCAGGTTCTTACCTCATGTGAATATTTTATTCTTCCCACAGTCCTTCCAGGCAAAACACTCCATCTCATGAGAAGATAAGCAAGTTTTTTTTTAAATTATTCTTTTTAGTAATCTCTACACCCATCTCTACACCCATCGGGCTTGAACTCACAACCCTGAGATCAAGAGTCCCAAGCTCCTCCGACTGGACCAGCCAGGTGCCCCAAAAGTGAGCAAGTTCTTGATGCGGTATTGGCAGATCTCCTTAGACAAAGATCACGTGTGGAAGAGACTTTGGAGATTCAGGCATCAAATGAAGTTGGCCTTTGTTTTTTACACCTTGTTTGTATTTTTCCATGTCTAATACACTAAGGACACTTACTATTGTACTTGCAGCTCAATGTGACTTTGCTGTTCGGATACTCAAGTGTACTTCTGCGTCATCACAAGCCAGGTGATAGGTTGGACACTGGCATGATTAGATGATGGTACTCAAAGAGAGAAGCTGGTCTCTTGACCAGGTCACAGAATGTGGTAGCAGATTGTCCTGGTTATTTGGCAGTGACAGCTTGAGGTCATTGGTTTGCATGCACTACTCTAGGGGCTTGTATTGGAACCTTTTTTAAAAAAATAAAATAACAGATGTTAGTGGTTGGGTGTATGTCCACATGTGTTGCAAGTAAGAATTACTAGATAACACCTCTGCCCTCACCCCTTCCTAGGTGACCATTTGAGTATCAAATGATACTGGATAGAAGGTTGCTGGGCTCTTAGTGGGATACATGTGGGCTCCACTTCTGTCCTTATCCCTGGTTATTCCTGCAATGTTGATTAAATTAATAGTTTCCCACAAGAATAGTGCAAGACCCTTTACAATCCCATCAACCTCATTTCACGCTATAAGAAACCGAAGCTTGGAGAGATTGAGGAGCTTAATGGCTGCCATTCGTGCCAGGAAGCGTGCTACCTTTTCACATACTCCTCATTAACTCTACCAGCAACAGGCCTGTGAGGTAGTTCCTCAGGTATCCATTTGGCAGATGAACAGGTTAAGAGAGGTTAGCCTGACAGGGGAGACACACAGCCAGTCAGTGGTAGAATGAGGATATAAAGCCTGGGCTGCCTCACTCAATTTGCCCTAAATAGCAAGAAGGATTCCATCCGGGTCAGTCACAGTGGGAGTGCCCAAGCATTGTGGCCTGTGTTGTATGTATATGGACACTCGTGTTTCTAATGTGGAATGGGATATTTCATCCTTGGGCAGTGCCTCCTGTGAACTTGAAGATCAAAAGCTCTTCTGCCTAAAACTCTTCAGTTGAGCACAGTTTTTAAAATACTCCAGGAAGGGGAAAAAATACCTTCAGAAAGACTTCTGGTTTCATCTCAGGCATGCAAGGAGTTTGTAAGTTGTCACTCCTGTCCTTACCACAAGGGAAAGCTGGACAAACTGAAAATCAACGGCCCTTTGGACCCACCAGAGAACTGAGTGCAGGGTAAACTGCTGCCTCAAAATCTGGAGAGTCACAGCGGAGACCTGCTCACCTGGAGCAGAAGCCACTGGAACCCAGTAGGAACACTGGTGGAGTGTGGGAGGCTGAGGAGTGTGGACTAGCATGGGAGTGAGGAACTCCTAGGGGCTACAGCTGAAAGGACATCACATGCCTTCATGGATTTATCGCCAGGAACTCTACCTGGTTTTCACAGCTAATTGCTGAGAAAGATTCCTTGGTGGCTCTGACAGGGGAAGGGGATGAGTAATCTTTGTAAAGTAAACTCTGAGCATTCCCCAGGGGAAAATACTGTACCAGAGTCTAATCCTACCCAGGGAAGGGCAGGTTTCTCCCTCTCCCCAACCCTCTAGCCTTTCTATCTCATCTAAATGGGGGAGGGTAAAACTTGTTTTTCTAAACATTCTGGTACTCATACACTTTGACTCTAAATGTGTGGTTTTTTCAACCCACACTGACCAGTTCTTTGACACCAGCTGGATGTCCTACAAATTCAAGTCCGTTCTGACACAATTCACCTGGAGTTCGCACCAGATCCCACACATTAAGGGCTCAGCCCCACAAGACTGCCCCTCACTTTAGTTGCTAATCACAAGTGTAAGCGTCTGGTGCTTCTAACTGATGGTCTGTAAATTAGAGTTCCCGCAAACCTCTCCTTGAGTTTGATAATTTGCTATAATGGCTCACTAGATTATTGGTTAATCCTAAAGAGAAACAATTTATGAACAACCAGAGAGAAGAGATGCATAGGGCAAGATACAGAATAAGGGGCAGGGAGCTTCCATGACATCCATAGGCACACCACTTTCCCTGCACCATCACTGATGCTTTCACGCTTCTAGAAGCTCTCCCAGCCCCGTTCATTAGCATCTTTTTTAATGGAGGCTTCATTACATAGGCATGATTGATTAAAGTCATTGGTCATTAGTGATTAACTCAACCTCTGGGCCCTCTCCCAGAGGTTAGAAGTTAGGGGTCTGGGGCTGGAAGTTCCAACTAATTATCTGTGGCAACCAGCCCTCTATCCTTAGGGGCTTTCCAAAAGTTCGCATCATTTGCATAAACTGGTGCAGTTAAAAGGAGCTTGTTATGGTAACAAAAGATGCTCCTTTCACCTTTAGCTCTCCAGAGCTATTTCAGAACAGACACAAAACCCAGATATGACAAAAGTCGTTCCTGTATTATCATTAAAGAATTTACAAGAGTTTCAGCTTTGGCCAGGAGTCAGGAACAAAGACCTTTTATATATTTCTTATTGTATTATAATATCACAGAGTGGGATTAAGAAACACTGAATGAGGGGCGCCTGGGTGGCTTAGTCGGTTAAGCGTCCGACTTTCGCTTAGGTCATGATCTCGCGGTTCGTGGGTTCGAGCCCCGCGTCGGGCCCTGTGCTGACTGCCAGCTCGGAGCCTGGAGCCTGTTTCAGTCTGTGACTCCCTCTCTCTCTGACCCTCCCCTGCTCACGCTGTCTCTCTCTCTCTCCTAGAAATAAATAAAACATTAAAAAAAAAAAAAAAGCAAAACCAATCTGTCTTTAAAAAAAAAAAAAAAAAAAAAGAAACACTGAATGAAGGTCACAACCCGAGGACACAGGCCCACTTAAATACTGAGATTTCATCAAATGACTAATAGAATGCTTCCCTTCTACACCTTACCAACAGGAGTCCAGCGTAACTGTGGATTACAGCTGGAAGAGCTTCAAGACACTCTCTGAGGAATAACATCTAGGAAAGAGGTAAGTCAAGAAGTGGGACAGAAAGACGCTAGAGGGTTTTCAAGCCTCTGGACCTACAGCAAACATTAAACATGACTCCTAGCCAGATTAACATAAATCCTCATTCCAGAGGCTCATTTACTTTAGTTCCTATTATCCAATACAGCCAATGTCATCTGGCCTTCAACAAAAATTGCAAGCATGCTAAAGGGTAAGGAAAAAACACAATTTGATGGGACACAACAAGCATCAGAACCAGACAGACTTCTTTTTTTTTTTTTTTTTTTAATGTTCTTTATTTCTGAGAGAGAGACAGCGCGAGCAGGGGAGGAGGAGAGAGAAAGGGAGACACAGAATCTGCAACAGGCTCCAGGCTCTGAGCTAGCTGTCAGCACAGAGCCCAACACGGGGCTCAAACCCATGAACCGTGAGATCATGACCTAAGCCGAAGTTGGATGTTTAACCGACTGAGCCACTCAGGTTCCCCTAGAACCAGACAGACTTCTGTGACACAGACGTTGGAGTTATCAGACAGGAAATTTAAAATAACTGATTAATATGGTAAAAATAAAAAGTATGCAAGGACATATGGGTATTGTAAGCAGAGATAAGAAAACTAAGAAATAGTCAACAAGCAATGTTAGAAATCAAAAATGCTAACAGATGAAGAATACCCTTAATGGGCTCATCAGTGGACTGGACACAATTGTGCAAAGAATCAGTGAGCTTGAAGATATGTCAATAGAAAGCACCCTAACTGAAATACCAAGAGAAAAAAAAAAAAAAAGAATGAAAAACAAACCCAGAACAAAATATCTAAAAACAATGTGTCAATTTCAAAAGCTGTACTATATGTAATTGGAACATCAGAAGAAAAAAAATGAATGAAGAAATATTTGAGGTAATAATGGCTGAGAACTTTCCAAAAATTCATGACAGATCCAGGAAGTTCAGAGTAGTATAAATATAAAATATCTGGGGGCGCCTGGGTGGCTCAGTTGGTTAAGCATCTGACTTCGGCTCAGGTCATGATCTCATGGTTTGTGGGTTCAAGCCCCGCGTCGGGCTCTGTGCTAACAGCCAGCTCAGAGCCTGGAGCCTGTTTCAGATTCTGTGTCTCCCACTCTCTCTGACCCTCCCCTGGTCATGCTGTCTCTCTCTCTCTCAGAAATAAATTAAAAAAAAAAACTTAAAAAAATAAAATATCTGTAGGTATATCTTATTCAACCTGCATAAACCAAAGAGAAAATCTTAAAAAAAATTTTTTTTTCACATTTATTTAGTTTTGAGAGACAGAGACAGGTAGAGCACGAGTGGGGGAGGGGCAGAGAGAGAGAGAAACACAAAATTCGAAGCAGGCTTCAGGCTCTGAGCTGTCAGAGCCCATGGGGGGGGGGGGCTTGAACCCACAAACTGTGAGATCATGACCTGAGGAGAAGTTGGATGCTTAACCGACTGAGCCACCCAGGCACCCCGCAAAGAAAGAAGTCAGAAGAAAAAATTATCCTAAAGAGAAAACAAAGACAGTTGACTGAAATTTTGAGGGGTACCTCAGAAATATGCAAGAAGAGAGTGGAGTGAAATATTTGAAGTGTTGAAAGAAAACCCCATCAACCCAGAGTTCTATATCTGATAAAATTATCCTTCAAAAGTGAAGAAGTAAAAACTTTCTCAGATCAGTAAGCGTACTTCAGAAACGCATCTCGGGACACCAGGGTGACTTATTCTGTGAAGTAGCAGACTCAATTTCAGCTCAGTTTGTGATCTCACGGTTGTGACATTGAGCCCAGAGTTGGGTTCTGTGCTGACAGCATAGAGCCTGCTTGAGATTCTCTCCCTCCCTCTCCCTCTGCTCCTCCCCAACTCGCTCTCTTAAAATAAATAAACAATCTTTAAAAAAAAAATTTTGCACTTGGAACAATTCACTTTGAATCCGGAGAAGTTGAGGTTGAAGAGCAAGTTAGAAGTAGCCCACTTGGCATCTGAACTGAGCTCTTCTGATGCATTACTTTGTTGTCTGAGCCTATTTAAAAATATTTTCCCTTGCTGGTGGGGTGGGGAGAGGCTAATTTACAGAGTGTGAAAACCAAACCTTGAGCGAGGATGGTCTACCGAAACGGTGCCCCGCCCCTAAGCCGAGTACCGCCAGAGGGGACTACAAGTTCCAAGCTGCTCCGCGGTGTGCGCGCAGCCTGCCGGGACGCGTCTCCCGTGAGTCTGCGCGGGAAGTGGAAACCAGCGGGGAGGCGAAGCAGTACGCGGTCCGCTGGGTCGGCGGCGTCCACTGTTCTGAGGCGCTTGCTGCTAGCCCAGCGGCCCGAGCTCTCCGCCGCCATGCCCATGAAGGGCCGCTTCCCGATCCGCCGCACCCTGCAGTACCTGGCCCAGGGGGACGTGGTGTTCAAGGACTCAGTGAAGGTCATGACGGTGAACTACAACACGCACGGGGAGCTGGGCGAGGGCGCCAGGTCAGTCGGAACTCTTCGAGGCCGTCCTCAGGCCGCGCGGTCGGCACCGTGCTCACCGTAGTGACGTGCTAGTAGCGCTGAGATCTGGAGCTGCTCTAGGTGCCGCTTAATCCTGAGGCTGCCCTGAGCTGGATGCCATTGGCCCCGTTTTACAGACGTGGAGACTGAGGAGCAGCTTGCTCCAGGTTCCACAGCGCGAAGAGGACAGCAGGGCTACGCCGTGCAGGCTGCAGTCGTGACGGAGGTGGGGGAGCGGAGGACCAGGATCCCCACCTCCCCTGCTTCCCCGGTGGAGAACTAGGCCGACCGGGGAGGCCACAGCCTCCTTAACTACGTGTGCTTGGCGGGCGAGCCGTGGGGAGCTGCGGCACTCGTTCTGCTCCGGATGGAACCTGGTCCGGAGGCGACAGACCCTGTTGATGTCCCAGCTTTAACAACTGCTGGTTTGGGGCGAGCTGCTGCTCCTCACTGTCCCAAACCGGGATGAGACCTATGACCAGGGCCGCTGTGGCGATGCACTGAAAATAGTAACAGCTGCTGGCACTTCCAGAGCCCCTCTGTGTGCAACATAAAAGAAGGATGTTTGTCGTGCATGCTTTGAATGTTTGTCACGCACTGTCTTCTTTGATGTTTACAGAAGCCCCATGGTTGTCCGCACTCTAGGGGTGAAGAAACGTACAGAGATGTTAAATAACTCTCTTGTTCAGGGTGGCAGACTGGCTAGTGAGTGGTTGTGAGTGCCGGCAGTGCCATGCCTCTGGTATGCAGGATGCCTCACCCTTGTAATTGATTATGCCGGCTGTGTAGCCTCAGGCTCCATACCCCGCCCCCCACCATAAACTCCTTGTGGTGTGTTTTTTAAAATTTATTTATTATTTATTATTTTTTACATTCTTTTTTATTTTTATTTATTTATTTATTTATTTATTTTTTACAGATAGTTTATCGTCAAGTTGGTTTCCATATAAACAACCAGTGCTCATCCCCACAAGTGCCCTCCTCCATGCCCATCTCCCCCCTCTCCCCCCACACCCATGAGTCCTCAGTTTGTTCTCAGCATTCAAGAGTCTCTCATGGTTTGCCTCTCTCCCTCTCCCCCACGATTTCCCCCCTTCTTCTCCCCCATGGTCCTCCGTTAAGTTCCTCCTAATCCTCCTATACGTGCAAACATATGATATTTGTTCTTCTCTGCCTGACATATTTCGCTCGGCATAACACCCTCAAGGTCCATCCATGTTGCTACACATGGCCAGATTTCATTCTTTCTCATCGCCATGTAGTATTCCATCGTATAGGTAAACCACATCTTGATCCATTCGTCCGTTGATGGACACTTAGACTCTTTCCGTGTTTTGGCTATTGTTGAGAGTGCTGCTCTGAACGTTGGGGTCCATGTGCCCCTATGCATCAGCACTCCTGTATCCCTTGGGTAAATTCCCAGCAGTGA